TAATGAGTGTTAGAGACAGCATGAACCTCTCATTTTTCAGGGACTAGAGACAGGATTAATTTCCTCAAGGCTACACATGACATAGTGGAAAAGAAAGGCTTAGAAACAGAGCTCCTTCACTCCATGAACCAGCAACCTCCAAGGTATCAGAGTGTTTTGCTTGGCGCTGACCCCTAAGCAGCCACTTCCACCTGCAGAGGAGAAAGAAGAGGTCAACCCCAACTGGGTTTGGCCTCCATCCAGCAGGCTCAATGGACTTTATCAGCCATTCTCTCCTCTGACCTTAGTCTTTCAAGGATAATTAACCAGCCAAATGTGTTCTCTCTGCTGACACTTGGTGCCCAAATCATCACATACCACTCCCCAATGGCTAGGGAGCAAATCACTCCTGTGATGACCACCTGGCCCTCCAATGTCACACCCTTCATTGACTCAGCTTTCCTTACTTGAATATGAGGTGACTTACAGAAATGGCAGCCTTCTGAAGAGGCAGCATGCTCCTCCGTTGAGTTCCAATGGTATATTTCCTGGGGGGGAATGGCCTTCTCCCAGGATGGATGCAAGATAATAACTAGGGGGCTATGTAGTGCTTAGACATAATACAAAACAATCATTCTAAAATTGGGATCCCCTGCAGATGGACTCAATGCTTTCCTAGACAGGTCCTCGGATCCATAGGATAAGTACCTTCTAGGCAAGAAATCCATTTTTTCAGCAACTTCCAAATCTAGATGTTTTAGATTTTGAGCTACGTGGCAGGCACTGTGCCAAGAGTTATGAATTACAGGCATTAATCCTTTAATCCTCACCATAGCCCAATGAGATAGGTGTCATTGTCATCCCCTTTGTGAAGAAACTGAGGCATGGGAAATTAAATTGCTTTCTGAAAGCCACAGAGCCATTAAGTAGCAAGGAGTATTAATCAGAACGATAGGGTTTAAAATGCGGCATAAACCTTACAAAGAGATTGTCACATGTGTAAGATTATTATTAAAGCCAAAAATATGAGAGTTGAACAGGGAAGAGTATGAGCCAGTATATATTAGAATCCTCTATTCTCTGGTTTAGACAGAAAATGCCAAAGGATTTTAGAAAATACCAATGAAATGTATTGAAGAGAACTTCAGTGTGGAACAGAGTATTTGGAGATGAAGTGCATTTACAAAATCTTTTCTCGGCCCTTGTCACCTAAACTTGACCATAGCTTTTAACAGGGAGCTATCTTAAGCCCCATTTTGCAGATGAAAAAACAACAACAACAAGATTCATGGAAGATAAGTGACTTTCCAAGTCAGTTCTCTGGCTCCAAATCCTGAGCCTCTTCTAGTACATCCCAGGAGAGCTGATTTGGAATCTGAGGTTATGTCCCGCTTCTAACAGGGTCTCTCAGCTCTTGCCCCATGGAAGCCCACAGTGCACTGTGTCACCATAAGTCCTGCTTTGTCCAAGACACTCCTAATTTATGCCTGCTGCCCTCATATGACTAGTCATAATGCTCGCTTTCCTTTTGAGCAATGCTTTCCCAGTGTCTGTGTCTGCCAAGTGAGAGAGTCGCTACACCCATCATTCCTCCCAGGAACATTGTTAGAGAGCTAAGTAGGGGGTAAAAGCCCCAGACAAGACTAAATTTAGGAATACAGGTATAAAGAAAGTTCCTACTATATTCTGCTCATTCTCTCCTCCACCCCAGCTAACAGGGGTGCAGGTAATTTTCTCTGAGGAGAAAGGTTCAGAAAGAAAGAAAATTAGCAAGAGGAGAAGAGAAAAAGCAGAATAGGTCCTCTGTCTCACCCTGGCTATATATCTGAATTGACTAAACATTTGGGATTAAGATGCTTGCCACAAATTGCCTCGACCCCTTTCTGTTACTAAGGTGAGCCAGGACTCCTCCAACTTTCATGCCACTTTGCAGTCATTTCCAGCACCCTTCTGAAAACCGATGGCAACTTTTCTGAAATGTGTTTCCCACCTTCATCCACTCTCTCAGGCAGACAGTGAAGAGAGATCAGAGATAGTAAACCACAATGACTTGGAAGCCCCAGGGCAGCTGTAAGAGGCAAACTCTTTTCCAAGGTGGGGCTGGCCTACTTTGATGGGAAAGGGTGGGAAGAACAGATGCTTGAGGTCCGGCAGGCCTAGCCCAAGCTGCCTGTGTGCTCCGACAGGATTTTTTCTGCCCAAGGAAAGAAGGTGAAAATGGCCCCTGCTCAGCTCAGAGTAGTGGCTCCTGCTTGTAACTGCAGATGGCGAAGCTGAAGCAGGAGGATTGCAGTGAGTTTGAGGCCATACTGCACTACATAGCAAATTCAATACCAGATAGAACTATGTAGCAAGACCCTGTCTCAAAAATTTAAGAAAATCCCCCTCCAACTAATATTAGCAACTATGCCCCAGATCTCATGTTGTATTCTAGCAGTTTATCTCATCAGAAGCTAAGATAGTCACTGAGTTAACCTTAACAGCTTCATGAGGTATGAGCAGTAATTCATAACTTCTTCCCATATGTAGTCCTACCTGAACAGGCATTACATGTCAATGCTTTCTGAATTCAACAACTTCTCCTCCCTCTTTTCAGGAGGGAGATGATAAGAACTCAGTACTTTCCTCCTTTCTTTCTTTGAGATCTCCAGGGTGAGCATCAAAGCCTAGTCAAGTTATAGTTCAAGGCTCTGAAGTCAGGTATATTGGCACCTCAAGAGGTGGCTAGGGAGATTCCAATTATTTTAACCCCTCTTTTGTCTCAGTCTTCCTGTCTATAAAATAGAGGCAGCATCTACTTCATCCAGGTGTTATAAACATTGGTAATAGGATTTTCTCAAAGATGGGAGCAGGGAAAACACAGGTGCTGTGTGAGATACTTAGAAGCGCCCTGGGATCCTCTACTCTCTCTGTCCTTGCCATCTTCTGCTCTCAATGTTCATGGCAACTTTGACTCCCTTAGCTTGGGCTTTTGACTAATCATCTGCTGCAGGGAGATCTACCCACTGAACTGCAGGTGAGCAAGAAACAAGTGTTCATGTGTGTTAAGCCACTGTGATTTGGGAGTTTACTTTTCTAGTGTGTACCAGTTAGCTGTTTCTGTGAAACAAACTACCCCTAGACTTAGTGGCTGCTATGAATTCAATATTTTTCCACCCTCAAATTTCATGTGTTAAAATCCAAGTCCCCAATATGATGGAATTTGGAAGTGAGGCTATGGGGAGATACTTAAGTTAAAAGGGTGTCTTAGTTACTTTTCTCTCATTGCTGTGACCAAACTGATCATTATTCACTGTCTACTTGAGAAAGGGCTGAAGGTGGGAAACACATTTCAAAATACCACACACTCAAAGTTAAAGGGGTAAAGGTTAATGTAGCTCACCATTTTTAGAGATTTAAGTCCATAATTGGCTGGCTCCAAGGCAGGGTGGCAGGGCAGAGAGGCAGAAGGTAGCAAAAGCAACAAGAGACCTTAGCAGCATCTTCTTGCCCCTTTTATTTTATCCAGACTCCTTAGGACAGGCAGCACTCAAACCCTTAATCCTAGTGCCTTTGAGACTAGCACTGCATCATGGAACAATTCCAGTGTCACCCACTCTTGATCCAGCAACTATGAAAAAGCCCCACCTATGACCGCATGAGGCTATGGGGAAAGCTAGACACAGCCACAGTGAAGGGTGAAATCCTCATGCTGAAATTAGTGTCCTTATAGGAGAGATATGTGAGAGCTTGCTTTCTGTCTCTGCTCCCTACCACACGAGCATCCAGAAAGAAGGAAGCAAGTGAGAGGGCCCTCACTAGACCTGACCAAGCTCTCACTCTGATCTTCCCAGCCCCTAGAACAACAACAACAACAAATATGATGATTAAGTTACATGGTCTATGGTGTCTTGTTACAGAAGCCCAAGAGGAGTTAGGACAGCCAGGTAAACAAGCAACCATTTATTCCATCTCACAAATCAGTGTATCCTGTGAGCAAATTTGCTTGGCTTATCTGGACTGTGTTTATTTGACCTCAGCTGGGCTCAGTCATGCGAAGCTAGTTTCTAAGGAGTCATGGGCCAGTGGTCTACTTAGCCTGGGGACAACACTTCATCCCATGGGTGGCTCATGCTCCACTAAGTTAACCCAAGCTGGTTCTCATGGTAGTGGCAAGAGTTTAAAGGACATGTCAAGAGTTTAAAAGACAAGAGTTTACACATGGCCTAATAATGACCTGGCTTGGAATCAACCAACATCACTTCTGCTAAATCCTACTAACCAAAGCTGGAGGAACAGCCAGATTACACCATGAGAGGCTGAGGCCTGGAGCCATTTGTATAAGCAACCTACTCCTTTGCTAGGACTTTAACTAGTACTGTCATACACAGATGGTGTGTGACACAGCCAGCATTCAGTTCCAGGTCTAACTAAAGTCAGATTTGGAGCCCTGTTTTTAGATACCATGTTACTATCATAAAGAAAACAAAAACACACTTGATCAAATCAACGACATCTCCAGGCAAACTTCCTAAAGCCTGTGCATGGATGATACTTTCCCCTTTTCCCTCATTATCTAAAGCATCTTCAAGGCTGCGGAGGAGGTGAAAGCAGCCTTATTTTGCTATGTTCCAGGTTTAGTTCTTCAGACAGGGAGTCACCTCTCTAATTAGTTCTAATTGGATTCATGGTTCATGTTAGGTCCCAACAAATTCAAAAGTTGAGTCATTAAGAAAGGATCCACAAGTTGGCTGTAATAAAGCCAGCTGTATGGTTACATGAGTGACAGCTGCCTGTCTCCACCTGAGTTGTCAGGTAGCCAAATGACAGCCACATGTGGCTGATCTTAACAGATAGGAGGAAACTGACTATGCTATGGATTTCAGGCCTCTTGGCTTAGAGGGTTGTAACTCTTTGTTTCTGGGTGTGGGTGGCCCCAGTTGACTTTAAATAAGCAAGTTTCTCTGTTTCTTAACAGACAGGCTCCTTTAGAAGCTTCAGGTATCCTTGACACTCCAACCTTTTCTTGTCTCCAAACTCACCTCTGGAGAACATCTGACTTAGTCATGTAGTCGATAGAATGTGGCTGAAATAACGCCGGTTGGTTCAAACATCAATTCTCCATGAATTCTGCTGCTCTGTAGACAGGAGAACTGAGGTTTCAAGGAGAAAGCATAGATCCAAGGTTATCCAGCAAGTGAGTAGCAGAGCCAAGACTAGAAGCTGGGTGAAGGTGCAGTGGCATAGCAGAGAAGCCAGTCTCTAGTCCAGTTAGGGCTCTCTCAGGTACTTTTGTGACCTCAGGTAGTTTTGTGACCTTAGGCAAGTACCCAACCTCTCTGTTCCCTTGCTTGTTCATCCTTTTAAAAAGCATGGTTCACCTTTCTTACAGGGCCATTGTGGTATGCAAATGAGATAGCATTTAGAAAGTACCTATCAGATCAGACATCTTGTTACATAGGAGGTACTTACAGAAGATAAATACCACACCAGTCACGTAACCAGCATGAACATAGAGATAGTGATGGGAAGGAAGCAGGAGTGAGGCATATTTTCCATGCAACAATAGACAGGAATGACTTCCTCAAATCGATGAATCCCTTCATAGAAAGCAAGTTCCACAAAAAGCAGGAATTTGGTCTGGACCTGGAAAAGGAAGACCATTATCTGAATGAATGGATGGGTTCTTTTTAAATCACTGGAATAATGGATTATGCGAGTAGAGTTCTTTTTTTTTCAGGAGATAGATTCAAAACTCAAGAGTCAAATCAGTACAGCTCTCTCTCTCTCTCTCTCTCTCTCTCTCTCTCTCTCTCTTCTCTCTCTCTCTCTCTCTCTCTCTCTCTCTCTCTCTCTCTCTCTCTCTCTCTCTCCCTCCTTCATCAAGTTAGTGCATCAAGGAGATAGTGAGCACCTCTGAACAGAGTCCTGGCCTGGAACCCAGTGTGTCATCCATGGGTGCATAACCCATAAGGATCTATTTATCCTCCTTGAGCCTCCATCTGCCATCTGTGTGACAAGAGTGACGGAAGTGTCTCTCTCAAAGGGAGCTCTCAACAAAGGAGAACAATGGGATTTGTTCACTTAGCACTGGAACAGGAAGGTTGTACCACCAGGGCACAACATTCTATACAGCCCCTCACCCTGCCCTCCCTCTTGGTGGAGGTCACACTGGGCTCTCTGAGAAGCATCCCTGGTGGGCCCATCTGAAACAACAGAACTCAAACAGACTTCCAGGATCCTCCTAAGGCCCACTGCCTGGCTCTACACCTGCTCTGAATCTAGTCTGTTACAAATGAGCCACTGGTCACAAGGTAGTTACAAGCCGGTGAGTGAAAGGAAATAGAGTTAACAGGTGCCAGTTGTTTTCTTGGCATATTCTTACATGGTATATCTCCCCTGGAGTTAAAGATGACAGGAATTAGGCCATGGATGATGTTTCTTCATGAGTATTGGACAATAGGAGGCAAAGGACCCAATTCACAGCCTTAATGACTGTTTGGGATCCCCCTAGGTTTTCATATTTATGTACTTTCTTTCTTTCAACTTTATCTTACTCTCTTTTTGATGTTTTTATCTTTCAGTTTTATTGGAAAGTTTCTGATGGAATAGCTCGGCCACTTTGTGAAGTAAAGATATGTATTAATCAGTAACTCCATTTCCAATAATTCCATTTATCCTTTCAACAACCCCAAGAGAAAGGCATCCCTAGCTCCACTTTACATGTCTAGTCAAGTGTCTCAGGCAGCAGAGAAGTGACCTTCCCACAATCGCACAGGTGCTATTAGTGGCAGTGGACTGGAAAGCCACATCAGCCTGATGATAGGGTCCTCTACTCCTTTGGTTCTGTCAGCCTCAGTCTCTCTCACAGGAAACCACTTAAGATACCCTCCTTGGAGCAAATTCTCAGGAAAGGAGTTCTAGAGCCAAAAGGCTGTGAGCATATTCACAGCTCTGGCTGTAAAAGTGGGCCATCTTGTGGGCTGCAGGCCACAGAGACTGTGGTGAGATGGGCACCCTCTGCTCAGGCCCACACCCTCTTCCTAGTGTCCTGGGATGCCTTCCACGTGTGAGCCTTTAAAGAACCCTGCAGCAGCTTCCCACTTCCCTGAGAGCTAATGTGGTATCCCCAGCAGGGCAGCTCCCCAACAGAGTCACCCCTGAAGTCTCCAAAGAAAGGCAGGAAGTGGCTCCCAGCACCTGGCAGCAACACTCATCATTTAACATGCACACCACTGTCACATCAGAGAAGGAGCCCATGGGCTGGGATAACTCTTGTCATGTGCCTCCTCCTGGCTTGCCTCCTCTTATTCCAGCATCAGCTCTATAATCACCCTCCTGGTAAATGGCACCCTATACAGGCTTACAATGAAGAGACATGGAATCAAAAAGTGGTCAAAGACTTAAACTCTGTATTCTGAGTTTCTCACTTAGCAGCCAGTAACCCTGAGCAAATTACTTAACCTCCATAAATCCCAGGTTCCTCATCCATGAATGAGGACCCTTCTTACAGGATCACTGCAAAGGTGAAAGGAGAGATACACATAAAAATATGTGCCGAGCACAGAGCGAGCATGTGAGACTCGTTAGTCAATGATATTAGTGCTTTCCAAAAAAGACACTCTTAGAATTCTTCTGGAGTCTCATTTTGGCAGGCTTAGCTCATCAAAAAGTTCAAAAGGTAAAAGACTCAACAGTCTCATAAATAAATACTCACCTTTAAACACACAGTCAGCAGGGGCTTCAGGTATTTCTTGGTCATTACAGATGCCAACTGAGAATGTTGACACCAATGAAATTTTTGCCCTCGGCTTCCTTCTGAGCCACTGCAGATGATTGCTGCAGATTGGTGGCCATTTCTTCCACCAAAGAGGTGTTAAATATTTGCAGTTGTTCAGCTTTAGATGGAAGCCTTGGAGGGCTGTATTTAATTTGGATGGTAACAGCTTCGGCAGAGGTGAAGTTGCCCAAGACCTTGGCTATTCATTACCCTGGTGAGCCTGCAACCCCTCCAGCCTGCTCTGCTCCCTGTCCATGCAGAACAGGGCACAGGGGTGGGGTTAAGGATGACTCTGCATTTCATAAACCTATGGAGAAACAGAATGGCAGGCATCAAAGGACTCTGCCTGGAGACCACTCTCATTTCCTACATGGGGAATCCAGGGCACAGACAGGCTGGGGAGTGAGCAGGCAGTCACAAAGAAAGTTAGAGAAAAAGCCTCAAGGTCTCTGGCTTGCAGCCATTCCTCTGGATACACCAAGCTTCATGAAATTCTGTTTAATGGACCCTACAGGCATACTAGAGCCTCTCCCACCTCTTCTTCCATTGGCCTAGCTACCATTTGCCTCTAGAAATCACATTCCTGGAGACACAAAGAGAAGACATCCACCCAGTGTGAGAGGGGCTGGTGTGTTCCTCACTGGCTTCACACCAGTGACCACAGTGTCTGTGGCTCCCTGAGCTCCACCAGCCCAGCCCTCACGATCATGGTCCGCATGTCATGTGACATGACTCAGCAGTGCCCTAACACTTGCTTTACACCACCAGCCTCCTGCCACATGTGCAGGCTTTTTTGTGAACAATAAAGTGTGAAACCCCTGATAGTATCTTTTGCTGGCCTCATCCCAGCTAAGCCCACTGGGCTGCAGGCTGACAGTGAGTTGGTGGCCACAGGCTCAACTGGTATTGCCGCTACTACCATGAGCCTTGCTTTCCAGAGGATCAGGTGATACAACCCAGCAGGATGGGGAAATTAACTCTTGTCGAGTGATCTGTGGCCACTGAGAGAAGGGAAACAAGAAAGAGCGAGCACAAAATTCCTCTCCATCCTTTCTGATGCCTGTTTCCAGATGGCCCTGCACTGATGTCCTTCATGACCCAGCAAATGGCTGGGTTCCTAGTGGAGCTGGGACAGCTCCGGATCACGCCTTATATTTGCTTTTCTCCCTCCCCTGCCTCAGTTCCCCTTGCACACCCAGCCCTGCTTCTGAGATCTTAATCAACAATAAAGCCTTAGCACTTTTGTGTCTCCTTGGGCTCCTAAAAAAATCCATGCTGAGATACAGTTTAATTTTAGTAAAATTGGTGGAGCAGGGCTGGGAAAACCCAGATAGCAACAGTGTGAGCACATGAGGACAGGCACTGCAGTCTGCTTCATCCTCTGATCTAACCCAAGCCCCTGGAACAGCATCTGAAGACAGTAGCACCTAGAAGTCATCCTTGGAATGTATAGAGCACTTATAAGGTCGACTGAGTTGAAAAGTGCTTCCACATGGGTGATCAGCACCTGGTTCTCCAGGTGCCCTGAGAGGGGTATGGAAGAGCTTAGTACTCTGTTTGCATATGAGGAACCTGAACTTGCTAAGTTGAGCAAATATCTTTGGAGTATCCCTTTAAGATGCTGCAAGAGCTGGAGAAAACCAACCCAACAAATAAGCTATTAAAAATGAAGCAATTATTAGAGCCTGGAGTTGACAGAATATCAGTGAGCCTTTTAGATAAAACACTGGAGGGAGGAGGCAATGACGTGACCCACCATCTATGGCCAAGGTCTCTCTGTCCCGTGACGTCCTCCACAGCTAAGGAAGGAGGGTGAGGACATGAGCCCACTAGTGCAAAGTAGGGAAAGTGAGGAGGGAAAGATGGTGACATCTGCTGAGTTTACTAAGCCACTCACATGCATTATCTTATTTCATGCAAGCATCAGAGAAAGGCACCCATGTGTTTGCTTTTGCTGCACAACAAACCATCCCAAAACTTAATGGCTTAAAATGGCACATTCATTTGGCTCGTGATTCTCCAGCTTGGCAGTTTAGACAGGACGTGGCTGACAGTCTCTTTTGGTATCATTGGGCTCATTCACAAGGGCACTGCAAAGTCAGCTGGAGACAGCTGGTTCATGATAGCTTCTACTGGGAAAACTAGCCATGGCTCTTCATGGGCTCTTGCCCTCCAGCTGTGTGACACAGGCTTATTCTCACAGAGGACCTGGGTCTGAGGAGAGCTGGCAGAAACTTGCAGGGCGTCTTGAGTTGCAGGCTCCAAACTTTAAGACTTCCACTTCCACCACAAAAGCAAGTCAAAAGCCTGCTCCTACACTAGGGGTGAAGAAACAGACTGAAAAGTGGAAGGAGAAAGGTTGCAATGATGAATTTCAAAGCATTGGAACATGGAGAAGGGGGAACAATAGTGTCTGCCTTTAATTCTACCATAGTGCTATGACCCAAGAGTTACCAGAGGCATTAGAACCTCACAGGACCGGAGTCCACATAGCCCAACTGCAGAAGAGCTGAGGCAAAAATCCAAGACTCTTCCCCCTAAATCCAGAGATGTTAATATGGCAAAATATCCTACTCAGGCCTAAGGAAGTTCCCGAGGACTAACAAGATGGACTCCTGCCACAGACACTGAAGAGTTAAGAGGAGGAGGAAAGCCAAGCAGAAAACTGAGCTCCAGTAAAGGCCTGGAGAGAGCCACTAAAACTCACTAGGCAGAGAGAGAGACAGAATATGTCCTGGAGTAAACTCAGATTTATAGCAGGAAACAGTACGTTCTCATGGAAAGCAGCTTTGTGCCTGTGCCTGAATATCCATGCCCACTCTGAAGGACAAGGATGGCTTGTAAGTAGGAACACTAAAATCAAGGAACAAAAGAAGTCACATCCTCAAGGTCATTAAGTGTTCATCGGGAGGGGTATGACAGGAATTAGATGGAGGGTCAGAGCTGCTATCGTTTTCATTGCTATGCCTGTTGCTTTTAGTTTCATTTTTACTTTGGATTTTATTTGAGGCCACTCAAAGAAAAGACATTTTAAAACTGAGAAGTGATTTCTGCTTTCTGGATTGGAGAGCTGCCTGTCTTCAGGGCAATCTGTCCCCTTGTTCTGGAAGGAGCTTCATAGATTTGCTAGCTCTGGTGGCTATGTCCCCATCATTCTTGGAAAAACAACTCTTGGCTCTTAGAACATCCAGGACTCGGGGAGACCGAAAGGAGATGCAGGTCCTGTGCAGAGGTCGGATGGAGGTGTGGAGTGCTTCCCCATCTCATAGGGCAGGCCAGAGCTGGGTGGAGAGAGCCACTGCACAGGGAGCTGGGAATCAGAGTGGTAGCCTCTGGACTCTGAGGACAGTGGGAACAGTCATGCCATATTTGGTGGGGTCACTGGGAAAAGAGATGAGCCCTCTTAACTAGGGCCAAGATGAGGATTCCTAACGATTTTTGTGAGAGGAGCCCTAAAGAGAGGAATGTTCTGGGGATCCTTGGCTTAGACCTGAGCCACGTGAGGAAGCATGAGGATCTTCTGCAATAACTTGATTAACAGAGAATTCCATGGTGTTTCGTAGTCACAGATTGGTGAGACCTGGGGCAAATTTGATACACATGGCTTTAGTAAAGCACCCAAAAAAATTCATGCTTCATAAGTTTGTTTTATCAAGTAATAGGTGTAGGTAATACATGAAAACATAAGATGTCATCTAGACAAGAATAACCTCTTTTCTTAAAGGAAGATAATCCCAGGCATCTGACTAGCTTAACTGTAATTTCATTCTTTTAGCTTCTTCACCAGCAGGTCCTCCTTTCTTGGTGGTAAAACAGCCAGGAGCAGAATCCACTAATTCTTCCAATATCCAACAACACCCTGATGCCTTTCCTTAACTCTGATTGGCTGCATGTCCTTTCCTGAACTAGCCCCAGTGACTGTGAGACCCACAACACACATGAGCCACAGGAACATTCAGCTCCACAAACAACAGCAGGAATAAGGATATAGAGGAGTAGAGCTCTAAGCAATAATCACAGGTTCTTGCAGGAAGGAGTGTGACAAATACTCAGGAGACAAAGCATGAGCCCTCACTATCCTAAACACAGGAACGCTGGGGTACTTAGCCTCAGTGAGCCTGTTCTGTGG